GAAACAAATAAGTAACATATCCACTTGACTTTTTGTGGTTTTATCTGCACCATTGACCATTTTGAAAACAATGGTTCAGACAATCCCCTATTTGAAGGGTTTTTGGAGAGGGGGGAAAAAAACATTTTAAACCAGCAAAGGAGCAAGCAGTGAGACAGACCGCACAGGCCCCAGCGGTGGGAAGCAGCAGAGGGGACTGCTATTGCCCCCCTTTGACTCCGCCCCCACATACAGCATCACAAACCAGCGACCTGGGTGGCCCCACCCTGGTGAACACCTAAGACTCTGCTCCTCATACATAACAGGTATGATCAGACCAAAACATGGCTCAAGAAGAACTCAAAGCCCCAGAGCCCATAACTAAGCGATGAAGAAATAGCCAAACTTTCAGATGCACAGTTCAAAACACTGGTGATCAGGATGCTCACAGAACTGGTTGATTTTAGTCATAAATTAGAGGAACATATGAAGGCTAAACTAATTAAAATGACGGGAAATGAGCAGGAAAGCAATAGTGATGGAAAGGAAACTGGGACTCAAATCAAGGGAGTGGACCAGAAGGAAGAAAAAAAAATGACCAAACAGAAAAATATGAAGAAATAAGAATTTTAAAAAATGGACAGGCTTAGGAACCTCCAGGACATCTTTAAACGTTCCAACATCTGAATTACAGGGGTACCAGAAGGGGAAGAGGAACAGCCGCGAGTGGAAAACTTATTGGAACAAATAATAAAGAGAATTTCCCCAATCTGGCAAAGGAAATAGACTTCCAGGAAATCCAGGAAGCTCAGAGAGTCCCAAAGAAGTTGGACCCAAAAAGGAACACACCAAGGCACATCATAATTATATTAGCCAAGATACAAATGAAGGAGAGAATCCTAGAAGCAGCAAGAGATAAGGGGACAGTCACCTACAAAGGGGTTCCCATCAGACTGTCACCTGATTTCTCAAAAGAGACCTTACAGGCAAGAAGGGGCTGGAAAGAAGTATTCCAAGTCATGAAATCTAAAGATCTATATCCAAGATTGCTCTATCCAGCAAAGCTTTCATTTAGAATAGAAGGACAGATAAAGTGCTTCTCAGATAAGATCAAATTTAAGGAGTTCATCATCACCAAGCCCTTATTAAAGGGACTTATCTAAGAAAAAGAAGATAAAAATATGAACAATGAAAGGACAACAAACTCACGGTTATTAACAACCACACCTAAAACAAAAGCAAACTAAGAGGGCAGCTAGATCAGGAGCGGAAACATAGAAATGAAGATCACATGGAGGGTTAGCAACAGGGGAGTGGGAGGAGGATAAGGGGGGAGAAGTTACAGAGAATAAGTAGCATAGACGGTAGGTAGAAAATAGATAGGGGGAGGGCAAGAAGAGCATGGGAAATATAGAATCTAAAGAACTTGAGACATGTGGTCATAAACTAAAGGGGGGAATGGTGGGGGAGGGGGTGTGCAGGGTGGAGGGGAATGAAGGGAGGAAGAGAACAACTGTAATGGCATAATCAATAAAATATATTTTTTAAGAAAACTTTCTAGTATTGTCCTTTAGTGGAGAAAATACTTCAAAAAGAGTAATTTGGAAGATCTGTTAGAGGCTGTTAGAGGCAAAGGTAAAGTCACTGCATTCAAACATAGAAATTATAACTTGGAATAAAACAGAAACGTTTTTGTCAAGACATTTAAAAACTTGTGTGAAGTCTATAAAGCAAAAAGAAATAGTAGACCATTCCAGATAAGTGGTACTGCAGAGAACACCATTCCCTTCTCAGCAGTCTTGAGATGACACAAAGGGAGAAAGACAAAGTCAAAAAGCAGAAAGAAAAGTAGTCACAGGGAATAAGTTTCTTAGAAATAGCTGTTGTAATGCTACAAAGGATTTTAAAAATAGGAGGTATTATTTTAAACTGAATTCTAAAAAGATCAGGAAAGACATTTATGTAATAGTTTCAAATAATGTTTTATAGGCCATCCCGAAATGTTAATGTTTATGGACTAAAAGATACTTAAAACTGTGGTAGCAAAAGTGCATGGCTATAAAGATGTTAAAAGAAAGAATATACTAAAACAGTTTAAAAACTATATGAATGTTTATCCTTATATGTCACCACGTACTCTTTCATTTTAGAAAAGAATTAGGAAACTAAAATTATTTGACCTTTCGAAATGTAAACAACTTTATTATTGAGTCTAATTTCACTGTAACTTCAGTGCCGTGTGTAGAAGTATTGTTAAAAATAAGTTGTTTCACATGGAATTATTTTAGAATTTCCGAGAGGCCTACCATACAAGTAACTAACGCGTGTAAAAAGCCCTCATTTCCTACTTCTGGGGCAGAATCTTTTGGTTTAGCTGTCAAACAAAAAGTTCTTACAGGGACACGTTAAGACAACATTTCCAGTTAGTGGCACAATTATGTAGCCATCCCAAATAAATGGTAGTTTGAGTTTGCTGTGTCTTCCATTTTTGTTTGTTTTATGCTTGTAAACGTGCGTTAAAATAACCAAACTTCTCTTCCTGTCTCCCTGCCTACCTTGGCTCCACAGAGGAGAGGGAATTTCTACTTCATCTACCTAGCTTTCATAAAGCTACTTCCTTTCCAAATCAAAGCTTTTTCCTAAGTTCTCTTTCAAGATGGTTTAAATAGTGAGGTTTCACAGCTGGGAATAGAAATGAAGGAAACTAAGGAAGGGAAAGGGCTCCTATTTTGCAAGAATAGAGAGGTAGTCTGTAGCGTTCTCACAAAGATTTTTAGTGCTGTATTACCTGTGAAGTAGTCCACTGTGTAACCAGGTGGGGCCGGACAAAGATGGTGGCATTTCAGCATTTCCACCACTAAGGATAACTGGTGAGCAGGAAATTCCAAGAAGAGGGTTCTACAGGAAGTAGTTGAGAAAGTGAGAGGCCACGTGTTGCGGAAATGTTGCATGCGTACAGACATGGTTGACAAATAAGAATGGAAGAATAGCTTAGGATGTTGATAGTATTGAAAATTAAGCAGTAAGTTTGTGCTTAATCCTGGAAGCAGTGGGGAGTCACTGAGGCATTTTTTAAGCAGCAACTTAGTTTGAACTTTGATTTGTGAAGATAACTTTAGCAGCTATACATAGTATAACAAAGATAAGTGGAAGGGAATCTAGGTTGGGAGCGAGGCTTTTCTATAAAGAGCCATATAAATATTTTGGGCTTTTTGTGAGCATACAAACTCGACCACAACTACTCAACCCTGCGGCTCACTGCCACAGACAGTTTGTAAACAAAGAAGCATGACTGTGCATTTGTGGACTAAATGAGCAGCATCATTTAACAGGGTCATGAATATGGGTTTCTTAAACAGTTCGAAAGTATGTTATAACCCTGGGTTCAGATTCACCTCTTTAACTTTCTCATCTATTAAAAAATGGCATCTTTTTTCTGAATGTGGGTTTCTTAAACAGTTCTAAAGGATGTTATAACCCTGGGTTCAGATTCACCTCTTTAACTTTTTCATCTATAAAAGACATCTATAAAATGGCATCTTTTTCTGGTTTATAATAAAATAGCTATTATATTAACTTTTTCAAAATGCCTTAAGCTCTTCAGAGAAAATGTTTGCTAAATCTCAGTAAGAGGAATTTGCTATTGAGAATGGAATATACGTTGTAGGTTTAATTCTTTTTTTTTTTTTAGTCTTTATTTAAACCAACTTGGTACTAAGTTCTAGAAGCAAGGATAAATCTACTTTTGAGCTACTTGTAATATTTCTAGCTTAGACCTTGATCCTAAGAGATAGAATTATAGTAACTGTTAAAATGAAATGTAGCCAGAAATATGATAAGCTGTTGATATGTGTTTCTGTCATAGTGAGATTGCATTTTACTTTAAAGGAGATGGGATAGTACCTATACTGCAAATATGTTTAATATTTTAAAGTTATTCATCTGAAGAAGCTTGATTAAAATGAGCTTTTAAGATGGCACTCGCAACCTTTTAAGATCATTAATGGTCACATCAAAAAGACTAAAGAAAATTTAGTGTTAACTTTGTATAATCTTTCTAGCAATCAAAACTGATTTGACTTTCCCCTCCCCCAATGAAAGTTAATAAAATGTAGCTCCATCTCTGAGGCAGTATAGTGTTGAAGAGCAAAGATTTTGTCCTCTGGATTAAAATTCAAGCTCTGTAACCTTAAAATTTTTGTGATTTTAGGTAATTTATTCTTCATGTAAAAGATAGCATTAAGAATGCCTGCCTTGTCAGAATTGTTATGAGAATTTTGTCAAATGACATGTATGTAAAGTGCTTAGCACAGCATCCGGAACATTAGAGCATACCATGAGTAATAGCTATTGTATTTTTTCCAAAAAGCTGGGTTTTTTTTTTCAGGTGGCTTATGCTCTTCCATGGGAAGGTCTGTCATGCTGTCTGGGAGAGATAGGGTGCATAAAAGTTGTATATCCATTTTTGGAGCTCATGTGATCATTTTAAGAATTGGCATTCTATAATCAAGTAGGTTGGTTAAAAAAGTATTAATTTTAACAGACCAGTCAAGGTAGAGGCATAGGTAGACACATTACAACTCCTTACATAACCATAAAAAGGATCTCGACTAACCTCAAAACAAAAACAACCAGAACTGCCAGAAAATCACAGTGTGTGAAAGTCTGACAACCGAGGTTTCAAAAAGAAGTCATATTCATCCAGATGAGTGGGATGGCTGGAGAAGATGGGTGTGGTGGCAGCGAAGCAGTGGCCAGTGGGGTGGACGCGTCAAACCTTTTCCAGTAAAGGAATGAAAAAAATTCTCACATCATATTAATGAAAAGTATGATTCAGAGACTGAGGTGAGAGAGCAGATTGGTAGAGCTGCTGTGGTAGAATTTTGTTAAAATGTGAGTAGATGTTAATATTGATTATGATAAAGTTCTCTCAATTTTCTGATATTCACATAACAATGCATTACTTTAAAGATTCATCTATTAAAACTGATCTGTAAATGTCTTTTATTCTTGATTTTCAGCCACCAGCTGAACAGGCCAAAGCCAGGCTACAGTTGGTTCTCGAAGCTGCTGGTAAGTATAGATAACTAACTTTATTTAAATGAAAAAGTTTGAAATAAATCCTAGCATGGTTACTAGTGGGTCAAAAAGAAAAACGCTTATTTCCTATATCCTCACAAATTTATGAGATCTAGATTTTATATATATACATATATTTTTTTTTTACCTTAACTATTTATTGTTGCAATATAATACTAAAAGGTCACTCTTTGTCTTTCTGCTTATGAATTGACTTTGTTTTGGTTTTAATTTTGATGAAGTCCAATTTCTTGATCTTTATCTTTATGGATGCTACTTTTGCTGACATGGTTAAGGATGTCATAGGAGGTTTTTGCCTAACCTCATATGATGAAGATTTTCTCCTGCATTTTTTTCCTAAAAGTATTATAGTCTTCCTTTTTTTAGATTTAAGTCTATGATCTCTTTTGATTTAGTGTAAGATACAAGCTTTAAGTTGAGGTTTTCATTGAGCCAAAGGAAGCAAGGTAAATGCCATTTTTTAATTCCTCCAACTAATTCATTGGCTCTTTTATTCTGGATACCACCTAATCTTAAAATGCTGTCTATATGTTTTATTTCTCAATGACACAATAATACTGTGACTTTGATTTCAGGTATAATATCCAGATTTCTGTAAACATTAAATACTTTAAATACTTTACCTTTTAAAAAATATAAAGATCCAAAAAACAAAATAAAAATACAAATCCATGTCCTTTTTTCTAAGTACTGTTATTTTACTCTGAACTTTAATGTGCTTTTCAAAAATGTATGTAACTTAGTCAAGTAGTAAGTTGTCGAGGTCAAGTGTGAGGGTTAGAATAATATCACCAGAGTAGTACATATTTTTAAAAATTATACTTTTTAAAGGTCTGTAAACAGGTCATAATTTCCAATTGTAAAATAAGAATTCTGTTTTACCATCAAAAGTAATTTCGTACTACCAAATAACAGTCGGATTTTTTTGTATTCCTTGATTGAGAAAATATATATGTGCACATGATTTAAGGATTTCTTACATTACATTTGTTCCTTTCATTCTGACTCAAAATGTCCACAGACTAAAGATCAGGAACACCAGTGTAAATGATATACTAGCTTCATAAATCACTTATAGGAACTACTTACTATAAAGGGCTAAAAATTGTAAGTATTTTGCCAGTCTTTAAACCCCTCCATATTACTTTAAATGTCATATTTTATGCATTTTATCTTTTAGTTATGTAGAAAACATGATACATTAAAATTTTGTTACAGTGTTTTATACTATAGGATAAAGCTAGTTAGTATGATTCCCTATCATTTATATAATCTACATTTATTCTTTAGTGGCACTATTTTGCTTTGAAATACATTTTTTAGTTCAGAATTTGAGTATTGACAAAGTCATATTTTAAAGGAAAATATTTATGGTGCTTAGTCCAGAAAATATTTGTTCCCATCAATATAACTGTAAGGAATTTTATCTCATGGTTTTATACATTTTTCTTTTATTTCTCAATCTTTTGTTATGATTTTGAAGCACATTATAAAGCAAACTAGGCAGTCCAGACCTCACAGTGTGTGACTTGTTCCTGTCAGTCCCAGTGGTCATCCTCATTTTAAAAAATTTTACATTGTAAACTCTATGAAGGATAAAGAGGTAGGTTCTGTGTATTTGAGAAATTTTCAAAATACTGTGGCACTTTTCAAATTAAAAAATGTATATTGGCTTGGATAAGCAAAGACAGATCTTAGCAAGATGTAGGATTATTTATTAATTTCTTCTTATTGAATATGTTTTCTCTAGCTTTCCCATTTTATCAATAACACTGTGATGTACTTTCGGTTAAAAATTGGGTTTCCCTTATTTTAGATTACTTTCTTGGGATTGGTTGCTATAGAAATGAGTTTATGTGGTTAGAGGGTATTAATCTTTAGAGTGGCTTTTTATACATTTTTGCTAAATTGTTCTACAAAAGAACTGCTGCTTCTCGTTGCCGCTGGTTATGTAACCATTTTTACCGGACTTTGCTTTCTGATGCCAGGTGCATGAATATATCACTTTATAATATGATATAATATATTATACCCCTTTGAAAAATATTCAGTACTGCTTTTAATGGGAACTTGTGGCCTGGAGAAGGGAAGCAGATGAATGGATAGGGGAGAAACATATAAGCAAATATAGAACTTACTGTCAGAGTTTCAGATCTGTGTCACTGATGAGTCCAGGGTGTTCATTGTGTTATTAAAAGTAAACCAGTACAGAAGGAACTGTAGCTCAGTCTGGCAAGGCACACAGTTAAAGTCTTGCCTAGTCCTAAAATGGAGGTGGTGGATAGGAAGGTTTGAAAGTCCCCATTCTGTCATACTGGAGTTTACCTGAGTTCCTGGGGAAAACACTTTTGACTTTGGGCCCTTAAATTGGATGTAGGGGAAGACTTAAGGCTGTAAGCTAGATTCTCGAGTGCAGGGAAATACTTAAGGTTGTGTGCTGGTCTGTAGGGTTCATATGTAGAATCCTGCTGATTAGACTTAGTCTTTTACTCTTCTGTCCCAGAAGAAAGTTTTATGTATAACCATTGCATTGTTATTGATTTATTAGTGAATGTTAATAATATTACTGATTGGAAAGTAAAGTATATTTGTAGATCATTTGGCAACAATTAGTAGTTACATGATAAACAAAATATAACTGGTAGGGTATTATGTATATTGTACCAAACATGAATTTGAAATCAGGTTGTATTGTATTTGTAATTATATTTTATATGCACTAAATCATTACATTTTATACTTTGTTATGCTAAATGATCAGATTTAGATAGACTTTTTTTAGGTTCATTGCCAAATTGCAATAGAAACCAAATTCTATGTCTCTTGTTTAACAGTTAAGGTTATATCTAAGGTTGCTTTTTAAATCTGAAAGGTTGCAAGTGAATGTAAGTCATAACCTCAGCTAATGATTTATTCTATGATACTGAGTAAATCCAATTACAAACTGTTTCTTCCATGATCTCTTCCTTTACTTTTAAAAAATACTTTTATCATTCTCCTATTTAAGATTCAAAACTTGAAATTTTTCTGACTTCTGTATAGTCAGTCAGTCAATCTGTGTAGACTCTTATTTTGAATATTTTTGTGTTTATTCCTTTATTATCTTTTCCATTACCATCTCCTTAGTCCAGACACCAGACTTCACCCAGAGACTAATCCATTGCCTCTCAACTGGTCTCTTGCTTCAGTTCTTCTCCAGAGAGATGGTAGTAAATAGTAGAAGGGTCTAAATCTGCTTCCCACTTGCTCTGTGACCTTGACTGAGCAATTTGGTCAGCCCAAACAGGATTTTGTAAAAGGGGTGTGACAGAAGTATATATCTAGCCCTGGCTGGTGTAGCTCAGTGGATTGAGCTCCGGCCTGCGAACCAGACAATCGCAGTTCGATTCCCAGTCAGGGCACATGCCTAGGTTGCAGACCAGTTCCCAGCAAGGGACTCGCGAAAGGCAACCATACATTGATGTTTCTCTCCCTCTCTCCTTCCCTTCCCCTCTAAAGATAAATAAATAAAAATTTAAAAAAAGAAGTATATATCTTCTAGTTTACTGTAGTTCTCTATTTTTTTAAAAGTAATTTATTAAGGTAAAATTTACATAGTAAACATCAATCATAATTGTTTAAAGTGAACAATTATGTATGTATTTTATCTATACATTTAAAGTGGCATTAAATACATTTGCAGTAGTTTATAACCACCACCTCTATCTCGTTCTAAAACATTTGCGTTACTCGAAAGTAAAACCTCTTACTATTGAGCAGTTTTCTTTCCACCCGCCTTCTTCCCACTCAGTTGGCGGCCACCAGTTGGCCCTCTTTCTCTATGAATGTATCTATTCTGGGTACTTGATATAAATGGAATCATACAGCATGTGACCTTGTGTGTTTGGCTTTCACTTAGTGTAATGTTTTGGAGATTCAGCCATGTTTTAGCAGGTGTTAGTGCTTTCTTTCTATTGATGGCTGAGTGATACTCCATTGTGTTTATATACAATATTTGTTTACTCATTTACATATTGATGAAAATATGGGTAATTTCCATCCACTGGTTATTGTGAATAGTATTGCTATGAACATGTACTTTTTTGAGTACCTGTTTGTAATTTGTGGGGTATATGCCTAGGGTTGTATTTGTGGGGTTATTTGGTAATTCTATGTTGAACTTTTGGAGAAAACACCAAACTTTTCCACAGCAACTAAACCACATTACTGTCTCATCAAAAATATATGAGTACAGTCCCTAATGTCTCAACTTGACCATGTCACACATTTAAGTTACCTGTTTGAAAGTGGATTAGGGACTTTGCTGTTCCAAAATATCCTCATCTGTATGGGGGAAGGTAAATAATTACCTTGTAGGGTTGTTGTGAAGATAGATATTATAATATTATAATATCTAAAGGGCCTGGTCTCGACCCATTTGGTGGCAAATGATAGCCACCAAAATATGTTTATTTCATATTGTTTTTTGTGACTACCACTGCCAGATGATTCTTTCTCAGCCACTATTTGGACATGCCACCCCTTTGTTCAGAATTATTCATTGACTCTCAGGTCATGGACATGGACAACGGTGTGGTGATTGTCAGGGGAAGGGGGCTGGAGGAGGTAGAGGAGAGGGTGTAAGGGGATAGATTGTGATGGACAGAGGTTTCACTTGGGGTAGTGAGCACACAGGTCAGTGCACAGATCATGTGTTGCGGAGTTGTGGACCTGAAACCTGTATAATTTTGTTAACTATTGTCACCCCAGTATATTCAATAAAAAGAAAATATTATTCATTGATTATCAGTTGCTTACAAAATCAATTTTATACTTCTATGCTTCAAGTTCCAATGTTCTGTATGGTAGATCGACAGACTACTATCTTTATTTCTTAGATTTAATTTCTGTACTTTTCCACATCATTATTTGAGTTAGTCATGTTTGTTTCTACCTGGGACTCTTGGCTCAGGATTTTATTGCTTCTAGAAATG